CTAAATGAATGGACACTCCTCTCTGCTCAGGACCCCACCTGGCCCTGAACCTCCCTGCCCTGGTCCTGCCCTACACCTGGGTCCTGGGAGCCCCAGGGAGGAGGGTGGCCACAGGAGACAGGAGGTGGGGAGCTGGAGTTTCTGAGGCCAATAACCAGAAGGTCTGGAGCCCAAGCTGTCACTAGGCACCAGGACGCTGCCGGGTTAGAGGGGTAATGGGGAGGGGTCTGCAGCTGCTGCCTGTCGGTGACCCTATGTCCTGGCCATGGAGCTCAGGTGAGTGCTCCGCTACCCTGACCTACCCGGACGTCTTGGCCCCGTCAGAGGCGCTGGCCTAAGTCCGACCCCTCCATCTGTACCCACCCAGTGAGTCCCCACATGGCTCCACCCCTGACTGCCATTGTGGCTCTGCTCAGACTGTGCTGGAGCGTGTCCCTCCCCAGCCCCTGAAATGCCTCCAGGGCCCGCTACCCAGCGAGTCTCACGGTGTGGAGCCACAAGGGGGCTCCTCTAGAAGCTGGTGCAGAGGACTGGAGTGTGCAGCCACCCCCCTGCCCACCTTCCCCGGCACAACCCCCACCACCGCCCCGTCATGGGTGCGCAGCGCCTGGCTGCACTCTAAGGCCTTGATCTGGCGCTGTTTTGTCACTGCCCTATTGTGGACACGCTGTTCCTCTCCGGATAGACTGTGAGAGTCGGCCGGCTGTCTCATTCAGTGTGTGAGCCCCGCCTTGTCAACCCTATAGGGTGTGAGCCCCGCCTTGTCAACCCTATAGGGTAGGAGCCCTGCCTTGTCTGCCCTACACCCGGCAGCGCTGCCTGCACACGCTCCTTGGTCTGATGGGGTGGGGGCCCAGAGGCATCTCCAGCTCTAGTGTTTCTCCTTGTGGAGGCTGAACTGCATTGAAGACCGGGGCCTTGTCCGGGATCTCACAGAGATGTCATAGCTGAGGTGAGCATTTGAATTCTGCCTTCAACACACCTCCAGGCTTTGCCCACTTCGGAGCAGCTCCCAGACACCCCAGCTCCCTTCGTGTCCCCATCATCCATCCCTATGGGCCGAACTTGCCCTTGCCGAGGCCCAAGGACAAGGCGGCAGCAGAGGAGACTCCAGAAAAAAGGCAAAAGGACTGAGGCACCAAAATAACTGAGCCCTTTCTTTCTTTTTTCTTCTTTTTTTTTTAAATATTTTTTTATTGATTTCAGAGAAGAAGGGAAAGTGAGAGAGAGAGAGAGAGAGAGAAACATCAATGATGAGAGAGAATCATTGACTGGCTGCCTCCTGGATGCCTCCTACTGAGGATCAAGCCCGCAAACCGTGCATGTAATCTGACCAAGAATGAAACGGTGACATCCAGGTTCATAGGTTGACCACTGAGCCACACTGGCCGGGCATGGGCCCTTTCTTTGAGAAAGGAATATTTAAAAATCAGAAGTGTGATTCTCTCTTTAAGAGGAAAACCTGCTTTAATTAAATGGGAACTATAAGTCAAACTACCCAGGTGTAAAAGTACCGTGTGCTCTAAAAAGTTTTCATCGGCGTTGAGAATCTAAGTTTAAAACCAGGAACTGAAAGCTTTGCCAGCTGACCAGATAATGCATGAGAATATATATCTCTGCACATTGGCTAAAGGACAATATTTAAAATAGGACTGTCGAACGCTGGCTTCCCAACACGACCTGTTGCTAGGAGAAAGCTCTGTTTCTGATATTTGGGAAGCCAGCGTTAGACAATGTAGGTAAGCCCATCCATGTTCCCTTTACGACTTATGTTCTGGGATGTTTCTAAAGTGTCCTTCCCAATCTGAAGCAAATCATGTTTTGAATATTGTACTTTAGACAATGGACAAAGATGCAGTTTTGATGTTCACAACCACAACACAGAAATCTGAGCCCTCGGAGAGGGCGGGGTTTTGTGAAAGTTCACCTCAGTCATCCAGAGCTGCGTCATCTGATAGGTTAGCCATTCACCACGTGCCTATTTACATTAGAGTCTATTAAATTCCCTGAGAAAGATTCAGGTCCTCGGTCGCACTGGCCACGTGCCAGAGGCTCACGGCCTCCCGTGGCGGGTGGCTGCTGTGTTGGACGGGACGACGCAGGACATTTCCATCTTCCCAGGAAGTTCTGACTGAGGGCACTGCTTTCTAGCTTGTTGTTTCAACACAGCTGGTGGGCTAGCACAGCTTTCAGTTCCTTGTTATAAATTTAGCTTACGAATACCGATGAAAACTTCTTATATGCAGTAAAGAAATGTTGAAATGAATTGCATGGAGAGACTCACCAGTGTGGGGTTTTCGTCCCTCCCACAATAGAGGAAGAAACACAGAATTTGCATGTCTATCAATAACCTATCATTCACAGAATCCTATATAATAAAACCCTCATAGGCAAGTCAACTGAATGGTGGAATGACAGCCAGAACGCCTGGTTGCTATGATGCACACTGACCGCCACCCCCCCCCACCCGAGAAGAAGGTGACCTACAGCCGCAATCACACGGTGGGGACGGCCAGTGGGCTGTGGCCCCCCATTCAGGGGACTCTGAAGGGCCTTCAATTCCCTCCAAGGCAGTGGTTCTCAACCTGTGGGTCGCGACCCCTTTGGCGGTAGAACAACCCTTTCATAGGGGTTCCCTAAGACCATCTTGCACATCAGATATTTACATTATGATTCGTAACAGTAGCAACATGACAGTTATGAAGTAGCAACGAAAATAATTTAATGGTTGGGTCACAACATGAGGAACTGTATTTAAAGGGCCAGAAGGTTGAGAACCACTGCTCCAAGGGTTCAAACCTGCAGCCCAGGTGGGATGGAGGAGACAGTCCTGAGTTCAGCCTCTGCACCCCAGTCAGGGGTCAGGTTGGTCCTGCCACTGAGGGGGACTCTCAGCTGCCCCTCACACCTGTCCCAGGAGGGGCTGGCCAGCAGGTGGCAGCAGTGGGAGGGTGGGCTCTGCTGGCTCCCAGGACTTGAGGGACCAGCAGCCTGGCGATTGCACATGGGAGGTCAGTGGAGGGTACATGGCCGCAGGGCCGGGCTGGACAGCTCTGGGGCCCCTGCTGCCGATGCCTCTGGGACCCCCAGCTCTTAGTCACTTTCTCTTCCTCCAGGGCGGCTGCTGGGACCTGGCTGCCTCTGGGGCTTTCTTCCCCCGTGCATGGGGAAGCTGGAGGGGAGCAGAGGGTCCTGGTGGGGAGAGGGCAGCTGTCCACCCCGCCCCGCTCCCCTCAGCTGGACGGCTGAGCATTTGGCCTTCTTAAGAATACACATGAAAACTTCTTATATGCAGTAAAGAAATGTTGACATGAATTGCATGGAGAGACTCACCAGTGTGGGGTTTTCATCCCTCCCACAACAGAGGAAGAAACACAGAATTTGTATGTCTATCAATTACCTATGATTTGCAGAATCCAATATAATAAAATCCTAATATGCAAATCAACTGAACAGTGGAACGACCAGCAGAATGACTGGTTGCAATGAAGCGCACTGCCCTGAGAGGGAGGTGACCTGCAGCAGCAATCAGGGAGCAAGGCTGGCCAGTGGGCAGCCCAGGCCACCATCCTTGGTGGGTGACAATGGGGGGCCTCCCTATCACCCCACTCATCGGTTACCCCACTGATTACCCTGATTGCTGACCAGGCCTAGGCACCCTACCCTCTATATTGGGAACTGTCTCTTTGATTTAAAAATTTAAACCTGGCAAGGCTACTCTAACTCTGAAGAAACAGGATAATGCAGTGATGACATGCATGGACCCTGGCTTGCACATTTTGTGGTCAGCCCTGATTCTGACACTTATAACTGTGTGACAAAGCCAATTACTTAACTTCTCTCTGCTTCAGTTTTTCCACCCAAAAGAGGGGGGAAATGATACTACTGCCTCAGAAGGATCATGTTATGTACTGCTTTTTATAATCAGGGCAAAAAAATGTAGCTGCCCGTACAACAGCAAGATGCCTTTCACCTGTATGAAAAGTATGGTCACTGGTGCGTGCAGCGTCCAGGACTGCGAGAGGGATGTCTGACTGCCAGTTTAGGCCCGACATACCCCATGGGGTCCCAGATTGATAGAGGAGCAGGTCGAGCTGAGGGGCCTCTTGCCTCCTGTGCATGAATTTCACCCACTGGGCCTCTGGTCATTAAATAGTTGTCATTGAATCAGAATCAGAGAACCAGGAAGAATGTGCTAGAAACGATACAGTTTTCTATGGGAGTGCACATTTTTATGGAAAAGTGTGGCTTTGAGAGTCATTCCCAGAAGCTCAGAGGGAAATGCGTATAAAATAAAGCACATGAATCACTTCTATGTGCATTCTAGGACCCGCACAAATGTAAATACATGTATGGAAAGTAGAGTGAAAGGACATATGCATTAACTACATTAAGAGGATACCTATGGGCAACGGGTAGGAAGTGCAGCTGGGGGATGGAGGTGGAAAAAAATAAATTCCATAAAACCAGACAAACGGTGAAGTGTGTCCATGGGTGACTGTGTGCAGGGACTCTGATGCTGATAGTGGGGAGGCTGTGCACCTGTGGGGACAGGACCATATGGGCACAGTACTGTGTCTTTAATTTTGCTGGGAACCTAAAACTGCTCTAAAAATTGTCTATTTTTTTAAATGACCAGAATGAAACCTATATAATTTTATTAACCAATGTCACCCCAATAAATTTAATTTTAAAATAAAATGTATTTAAAATGACCAGGAGAGTGATGGGTCTTGCCATGGACTTCACCGGAGGGCCAGACACGCCCCAGCAGAGCGGGTCTGAACAGCAGCCAGGGAACAAGCACAGGTTCATCTGGATGATCCTCTGAGCCCCAGTTGTTGTATTTAATTTTTATAAAAGATAGTTTGCCATTTTCTTGGTCTCTGATTAGTTCAGTGGGTCTCCTTCCTCCCAGCTCCCCACACTTCCCGCTCAGTACGTTTCTCTCAATAAGAAAGGGGCTGGGCAGAGACCTCACAAAAGAAGTTTCTGAAGCCTTTTACTTTCCTGCGAGATCAGTTTATTTGTTTGTTCATTTGGGGAACAGAGAGAGGATGTGATGTTTGCTAGGGGAGGAAGGCATGCCCGTCAGCTCCTGGAAGGGTGACTTTGCTGCTCCCCTGGGTTTGGCTCGCCTGAGGAGTGAGAGAAATAGACAGCATTTGCAGGTGATCCATCCATGCTAGTCCTGGCTTCAGCCTCCCTCCCTCCTCTGAAGAAAACACTGATTTCCAAGTAGCCAAAACCATGCTGGCCGCTCCCACCCCCAGGTCTTCCTGTCCTGGTGAGCCCAGCCCAGCGCCATTCGCAGGGTACCGGGGGCTGGGCCTGCCTCCTGGGCAAAGAAGGGGGCAAAGTCAGGGGGCAAGCTCTGGGGAACCCCTGGGGCGTGGCCCCTCTGAGCTCTTGTCTGCAGCCACCATCTGGGTCCCCTCATTCCTTTCCACCCCAAGCCCGGCCTCGGCCCCCACTCACCTGAGGCCCTGGCTTTCCGGAGAAGGACAAACAGGACTGAGAACACCAGGCCCTTGTTCAGGACGAATCTGCAAGTCAGAACAATAGCCATCACCTGTGGCTCGGAAAGGGCCAGGGCAGGCGGCAGGCTCAGCTCCTTTCCTCCTTGGCTGGTTGATGGGACTTGTGCAGTAACATTCGAGGTGTGCGTGAGGGCTTCAGAAGAGAAATAGACGCAACTACCCTCATTGCCCGCCTGCTCAACCCCACCTATCCCCCCACCCCCGCCGCCCTCCTCTGGGCCTCCATCCAACAGGCCTCCATTATGCCCCCCACACCCTGCATCATAGCCTTTTATTTATGTCTCAGGGTCCCATTCCCCTTCCAGGGCCTCGTCCCGTGCCCTGCATGCAGTGGGCATGAGCCCAGGTTTGGGCAGAGAATGACCGAGCAGCTAATGTGTGTGCGCCAGGCCCCCAGCTGACCGAACAGCTGGGCAGGCTAGGCTACTGGGCGGGGGTCTCGAAGTTACTGTTTAACCCTTGACCATCACGGGGAAATGTAGGGGGGCTGTGCACCTCTGAAGCTTTCACAGGCATATGGGGGAGGGGCCCAGGGTTAGGAGGAGCCTCAAGCTTCCCACTCTGAGGCTGAAGATCACTCATGTATCAGGGGTGGGTACAGGGTGGGACCCAGGCCCTCTGAGCTCTTGGCCCCTGCAGCTCCCAGCCTCACCCCGAATACCATGTCTGCTCACTGTGTCTGTCCCCTGCCTGTCCGCATTCCCTGAGCCCACACAGTGACCTGTGACCCGCCTCAAGCACAGCCCTTGGAGAGAAGGTGGGATTAGGGTCAGGGGGAGGGGTGCCCGGAATGGTCCCATAAGCCAGGCTTGGGCAAGCCTGAGGCAGCTTGGTGACTGGTAGGAGTCAGTGGGGAGCCCTGTGAGTAGCAACAAGTGTTCGGAGAAGTGTGTGAGCTGAGGAACGGAGAACCCACCGAAGCCGGCAGTCTGAGTTCTGGCGCTGGTTCTGCCTGTAACCAGAGGCGATCTCGGGAAGGGGCCCGGGGTTCAGCCACGCGGGCTGGGGACCTGATTAGGTCCTTTCCAGCATCAGCTTCCTATGGGTCAGGGACCTGAGAAGCACCCACAGAGGGAAGGACTCACCCCGAAAGACCGCCAGACTGATGGTTCTAAGAATGTCAATCCCGGCAGATTCATAGAGTCCACAGGAATACAAGCCTGAGTCCTCTGCCAGCGCAGTCATGGTGACGGTGAAGTACCCCTGTCCGGGATAATCCCTGATGACGTATCGCGGGTTTCCAGGCTCCTGGACGAGCCTGGGACTGGTGACTAACAACCTCGCTGGACTCGATAATTGCACCTTACGAAGACTTCTTCCCCTTCCAGTTTCCGCAGCAGCAGTGGCTGCTGTTCCCAGGAGCCTGAGAATAAACCCTCAGGTCAGGGAGCCCCCTGCCTGCCTCAGAGCTGAGAGGGGCCCCCTCCTCAGTAAGTCCTCTCTGCTTCACTCAGTAACCTCCCATCCTCCCTCATCCCCCCACCCCGCCCCGGGTTCGCCCTGCCTCCCCACAGGCCTCACACCCCCTCACTAGCATCCCTCCTCCTCTTCCCCTCGCCTCTGCTCTCACCTGAGGCCAGGAGCACCAGCAGGACAAGGGGCAGCAGGTGCTGGGCCTCCCAGGCCATGGCCCTCTGTCTGAGCTGGGGTGGCAGCGGCCGCCCTGAGGAGAGGGTGCCAGAGCTGGTGTTTTCAATGGCTGTGGGAGCTGGGGTGGCAGCGGCCGCCCTGAGGAGAGGGTGCCAGAGCTGGCAGGGTCAGCAGCCGCCCAGCCTGTCTGGGAAGAAGAGCTGAGGAAGGCAAAGACTGCAGGTGGGGAGGGTGCAGGGAGGAGGGAGGCCTGGGCCTATGGGTGCAGGGGGGGCCTATGACCCTCCCCTGTCCCGCTGCTCCTGGGCCTGGCTGGGGGCTCTCTGGGCCAAGCCTGCCTGCTGTTCCCTCCCCTGGGGTATGGGGCAATGGGTGAAAGCCTGGAGGAAACGATGGTGAAATAAGAAGCCATTCCTCCACCCTAGTACTCTCTGTCCCACCACTTCCTTCCCCACCTCACCTTTCTCCTCGCCACCAAGAAAAGCAGGGCTGAGGGCAGTGATGGAGGCAGGGGACTCTCTGGAGGCCCCAGTGCTCAGAGGCGTCCTGCCCAGGCTGCTGGGAATTGGGGTGTCCTGTGGGGACTGGAGGGCAGGAGGAGGTGGGGGAGTCATTTCCAGGGGAGGAGGTGCAGGGAGGGTTTCTGGCAAGGGTGGGAGAGCTAAGCAAACCTGGGGGTGGGGGGACAGAGATGGGTGCGGGAGGAGGGGTGGAGGGGGCAGAAAGGTGGTCTCTGCCGTCTGTGTCCCCAGTTCCCAGCCGCCA